ACCACTGGTGAGTTCTAGTCCCACTTCAGGCTTTGTGCTGACAGCTCAGAATCTGGAGCCTGCTTTGGAGTGTGTGTCTGCCTCTCTCTCTGCTCCTCTCCCCACTCATGAACGCGCGCTCTCTCTCTCTCAGAAATAAACATTAAATTTTTTAAAAATATATTCAAAAAGAGAGAGTTGGAAATGTTTATAATTGATCTATAAGAATAGGAAAGAAAATCTAAGTCATCATTTCTCATTTCTCAAAGAAAGAAAATATATGACAGAACTTAATAATTCAGGTTCTAGTGTCAGACCAATTCAACCATTCATTCAACAAGTATTTGTTGAGCGTCTACTGTGTGCCAGGCTCTGTTCTGGTGTTGAATATATGAACGAACAAGACAAAGAAGATCCCTCTGCTCTCTCACAATTTATGGTAGGGTGATGGAGATAAAAATTAATTAATAGAACAATTTCAAAAACTGATAACCAAATAGAGTATTGTGACAGATTTCTGGGGAGGAGGGCCAGCATTCCTGTAGACTTGATCCTGTAGGTTAGGGGTCTTAGAGAAGGGGACACATGGGATGGTGCCTAAATGGTAAGAATGAGCTGGCCAGGGGAAGTTCTGGGGCAGAGGGAGAACAAAATTTGTAATCTGGAAACAAGCTCAGTCGCCTCAGGGAATGGAAAGATCTGTGGGCTAAACGCGGCACACAATGTTGTAGAGGAGGACCGGGTAAAGCCATCAGGTAGGGCTTTTAGGCCACCAGGAGACATCTGCCTTCTATTCTAGGCCATTAGAACTGCCTTAAGCATGAGAGTGACATGCTCTACTTTATACTTTAGAAGAGCATTCTGGCTAATATACTGCTCCCCACGTATTAAGTGTATGTCCTTGGATAAGCTACATTACGTTTCTTAGCTGATATTTCCTCGTTTGTAAAGTTAAGATAATAATAGTATGTATTACATGTATTAATATGAGGATGAAATGAGGTAATGAATGGAAAGCATTTTGCACACTGCCTAGCACATAATAACTGTTCACTAAATGTTTTCAACTAAATCACTTTTACATCATTAAGATCACACTGAACTGAAGTGAGCATGCATGGTTCACCATCCCCAATTATGCAGCCTAATAGCAAAAAAATATCTTTTAAAATTAGTCCTGATTCAAATCTCTATTATTGGGAGGCTGGATTTGTCCATATTGAATCAACATGGCACTTTTCTCCTATCTGATCCTATGATACAGCCCTGAGCTATTTATGTGTATGTGCACACTCCTTCCTCTCACACACACTAGATTATTCATCTCTGTGTTGGTCCCAGAGCCCATAATGCTCAGTACATCATACATAAGGTAGGCAAGCAGGTAAGTAGGTAGGTGGAAGGATGGGCTAACAGATACACAGAGGACAAAAATCATGGGGGTGAGAGAAAAGAAGAAAGTATTTCACTGAAACACTTAAAAGAGTAAAGTTTTTGTATTATGAGTATGCAAAATGTATAACTGATCCCTTCTTGCCAAGTTTATTATTCTATTCATGTATTTGCATAGTAGTGGACCCCATGCTGAAACCCCATAAGAAGACGCTGCACTATCATAAGGACTTACTGCCTTCCAATCTTGATTCATCTCTACTGAAAATATTTAGCAATACTCTGAAAAACATGAAAGCAGTACTTCTCATAATAATCACTGTACTGTAGATTTATGAGCAACAGAACCAAAATTGTGAAATCTGCCATGTTTCCCATTTACCCGGCTCTCTTTGTGAGTGTGATATGTGACATCAAGAGTGTTCACATGTAGAATTCCAATTTCTAGGTTTTGAAACAAAGATCCACAATAGTAGCGGAAACATTTGTTCAGTGATTTTGCATCTAAATATGTGAAAGATTTCCACACACCAGAGAATGTGTAATAGATGACAAGTGACCCTATATCCAAATACACAGAACCACAGAAATTTGAGAAGTTACTGATTTAATAAAATAAAATTAGTGAAAGAACAACTAAGAAATAATATCCTTTGTCCTGTGATATACAAAGTACTTTTTTATGCAATGTCTTATTTTGACCTTCATAACTCTCTTAAGAAAACAGCAGATAATCAATAATAAAAATTGCAAAAAGAGAAAAAAAATATGGCCAACTATATCCGAAGTTCATGGACATAAAAACTGACACATTGAGTAGATGACTTGCCCCAAGTCTCTAAATCAGTACGTGGGACAGCTGTAATTGTAACCTAGGCCCTCTTAGTGCACTTTCTGCCATCCCATACTAGTTCAGCATGTCGCAAATAGTGCAATTCATTAAAACTGAATGTATCCCTATTTAAGAGAGAAAGGAGCAAACTGTATATAAGTTGCAAGTAGCATTATTGAAATTTCTCCTAGAATATTATAAATCCTTTCAAGCAGGACAATTGTCCCTTTAAATAAGCATAATTCCTCGCTAACCACTAAAATACTACATATTCCCTAGATCCAAACAATAATAATAGTACTAAATAATCACAACAACAAAGCTTTCATCTCCTGAATACAAACGTACCAGACTCTTGTCCTGCATTCTCCACATTCACTGAATTTAGTTCTCACAACAATCTTATGAGGCGGATATTGTTATCACAATCATCATTGTCATCACTACGCAAATAAATGGACAAAACTGAGGCATCAAGAGATTAAGTATCTTGTCCATGACCATTTGGCTACTACATTGGTTCAGTGACTCTTAACTGCAAAATGCTTATGTTTATGCTGCCTCTTGAAATAGGAGCCTCTTTATCCCATTCCTTTCCTCAATTAGATTCAACCAGTGATAAAGGAAAAATCTCTAATTTAGATTAACGATTTAAACCATTTCCACGCATGTCTAAGCAATACCAATTTTGTTGACCAATGACTACACTTCATCTTCCAAGTGCTGGAAGATCCATATGTAAAGTGCCTAACAGAGAACCTGGCACAACATATGCAGGTGACAATTACTGAGAGTCTACTATGTGTCTGGCATTATGCTAAGTGCTTTTCCCTGCATATGCACCCCATAAGTGTTAACACTGTTCTTTCTTTCTCTTAATGAATACACTCCATTAGAACTATCTGGATCCAAAGCTGTTTCTTTGAAAATTAAGCTGAGCAATGAACAAAATTTCTTCTCACGGAGGCAAACAGTATTAAATCACCAGGTATAGAAAGCTATTGTAGCTGGGTTATAAGGGACTACTATTGCTCTGGCTCTTGATGGCACACAGATGCATACAAGAAAGTATGGAAGGAAAGTATTGATGAGACGACTGAAGGCATAAGCTGGACTCCTCACCTACAGAGCTTATTTCCTCTCCAGAAAAAGTAAAACTTAAAGCACAAATAAATTATAAGTTCATTCATGTATATACATGTATGTACATATATATGTATGTACTTAGGGGCACCTAAGTGGTTCAGTCGGTTGAGTATCTAACTCTTGGTTTTGGCTCAGGTCATGATCTCAGGTTCATAGGTTCAGGCCCCACGTCAGGCTCTTCATTGGCAGTATGGAGCCTGCTTGGGATTCTCTCTCTC